CGAGTCCGGCGCCGCCGCACCCCATCGCCTCACCGTCCGGCCTCCAACCCTGGCGAGCTCCTCCTCCGCGACAACGACTCCGGCCGCCGCCGTTTCCTCTCCGGTGAATAGTACTCCTGCGACCTCGGTTTCCGCGCCCGATCTGGATCCAGATCTGGATCGTGAGGTTGACCTAATTTTGCCCGAACCCTAATAATTTTTGCTCATTTCAACGCATCATATCTCTCCAACCGTGGCTCCGATTCATGCGTGTAGCATATCGAAATGTTCGTCTCGTCGAGTACTTCATTTCATCTCATTGCATCATGTTCATTTGAGCTCATCTTGATGCCCTAAATGCTGTTGGAAAAGTGATAGTTTCTGTTAGTTTCAGATCCTTATCAGTAATTGCACTTTTGTCATTTTTTGCCATGATTAATGTGTGCCTCCTATGAACTTGAGCCCTACACGAGTTTTGAAGTATACCATGCTATCTTTACAGGGGTGTATGCCATGTATTTTTTTGTGATCTATGTGGTGGTTAGCACAAGCATGCAAAGTAGCCCTCTCAATGTTGCTGATTTCAGAGACTTAGAAATATTCTAAGTCTTTGCCCTGTCATTATTTTTATGCCATGTGTTCATGTTGCTACCAAGTGATCCATGCCTCTTTTGAGCATGATCAGTAAGGATGTTTTGTAGATATTGTTGTGCTCTATCCATCCATGTCTTTGTTTGCAATTATGGAGCACCCTAGCTTGACTCAATCAAGCTCTACTTTTGCTATAAAATGTTCCTGGCAGAATGTTTACGTGTTAAGCATTTTTGCCGAGCTTGTTGTAGTTGATCCATGCATGCTATGTTGTTGTTCTTGCCATGTTTAGCTTCCATGCCATGTCGACTTGCTGGGTGTATGCTTAGTTTATCATGCAATGCCTTGTGGTGAGTGCCTCGAGTTCGTACAAATGCCTACTCAATGTCTGTTTTGCCATGTTCCAGTTTTCTTCTAAGTCTGAATCTGTTAACGATAATTGCTATGTTCACATGGTTGCCATTATATTTTCTGATCCCTTTTGGCTTATGGTCAGTAAGGGACTTTTGTTGTATGCTTTGAGTAGCTTCATGCCATGCCTTGCTTTGCCATGATATGTTCCTGCAGCATATTGTTATAGTGCTCTAAACATTACTTCCTGATATTAAATTTCTGACTTGATGTTAATTTCACTAAGTTTGAAACCTGTTATCTTTTGCACTTTTGCCATGCTTGTTTGAACCTGTTATTGAGTGAATTAGCCGTAGCTCAGTGTTCATCTTTTGTCAAGCATCTTGAGTGGATCCCTACCATGTATTTTGTTGTTATGTTAGAGTGCAGTAGCTTATTGTTGTTGATGCATTTAGAAAACTTAAAAAATGTACTCGAATATGAAAGGTGCATCAATTTTAAAAAATTAAAACTTAAAAAAACTAAATGAACTTTAAAAAACATATGCATTTTTGAAAAAATACATGAACTTGGAAAAAAACTACGCCAATTTAAAAAAAGTACACAAAATTTAACAAGGTTCACGTATTTGAAAAAGTAACCGAATTTGAAAATAGTACGTGGATTTGGAAAAGGTAGGCAAATTTGAGTAGGAACGGTTAAAATTGGGGTGGGACACCACCAAAACCGGTCAAAACCGTGACCGGGGATGAATCTTGTCCGGTTTGAGAAGTTAAGGGTGCAAGTTGTCTGGTTTTGAAGTTGAGGAACCAAATCTAGACTCGGCCAAGAATTGAGGGATGAAAAGTATACTTTTCTCTAAAAAGAACCATAAAAAGGGGAGAAAATTGATTTAAAAAAATGGAAAAACTTGCGCAAATATTGTGTTACTATAACTTCCAAAGCATATGAACAGAAACTGCAGTTGCTTTATCTTTAATTAACGTACACGGGGTGGGTGTCCAATCAGTAAGCACTGAGTACTCGCAATATCAAATAGAGATGGGAGATCAGCAAGCGTTTGGTTGTTCTTGCTGGGAAACCGGGTTTGCCAATTAAGTAACAGTGCAGATGATTAATTATTCGTGACACAGTATTGCGCAGAGGTCATAAAATATGCTTCCGATAGCAGCCTTTGCGGTTTAATCATAGTCTACATAGCAGGATTATTAGAAACATGAGATTATCCAATGTATCCACTTGTACTCTCGTCAGAACTTAAAATCCATAACAACTCTCAAGATAAGGGCAATGTCGGTTTCGTATGCCAAACAACAGGTCAACTTGTTAAGGTGGTTGTCGTGATGCGCTAAGCAATAAATTAAGTTGCATACTGTCATTAGCTTGACTGCTTTCCTGTGGGAGACCCCAGTTACTCTAATCATCCCTGTGATGCGTGCCATATCATTACTGAATAGCTTTTATTTAG